ATAACAATGTTCACCCTGAAGCTCAGTAAAGCATTCAAATAGAAAATAAGGTATGTTGTGTTTTATGGACATGTATTCCATTATATCAGGTTCTATACATAGCTTTCATAGCTGAAATCAAAGTCTTTAATAACAGAGATTTACCTTCTCTTATTCTCTAGGATGTTTACCAAAACTAAACCAAGTATCTACAAAACTAAAATACTAGCTTCTATAGCTTGAAATAGAAAAAAAATCAAATCAAATTTTAACATATTTGTCTATTCTGTGAGAATCAGGTTGGAAGGGACTACAGCAGGTCATCTGGTCCAACCTCCCTGCTCAAGCAGGGTAATTCTAGAGCACATGGCACAGGATTGCCTTCAGAGAGTTCTTGAATATCTCCAGTGAGGGAGACTCCACTGCCTCTCTGGGCAATCTGTTCCAGTGCACAGTCACCTGTGCAGTAAAGCAGTTCATCCTCATGTTCAGGTGAACTTCCTGTACATCAATTTTTGCCCATTGCCTCTCGACCTATTACTTGACACCACTGAGAAATAATGAGAGACACTATATAGAATATGAGAAACTATGTATTGTTATCTTAGGTAACTCTCAGAACTTGTATCTTGGCTTCTTTCCTAAGCATGCCCTTCCGGATCTGAAAAGGAATTTTTCTAAGGAAAAATGAAATAAAATTTGCAAAATTTATCCTCAGTATTCTTATATTTACAGTCAAGCATTTAAAACAAATTTTAAATGCAGTTTTGTCCCCCATCTGTGGAAAAAGACTTTTCTTAAGTATCATTAAAGCTAAATAATGTTTCAGGTTTCTCCATTGAATAGCTGAGTATGCATTACTTAATTTCAAATGTGAAATGTCTGAGAATTTTAAGAATGTGTTAAGACTCAGCAAGACTGGAGACTTGAATGATACAGTCAGCAGTAGTACAATTAATAAAACTAGTGTTTAGGTTCAGTGTAGAAAGCCCATTTAATTCATTCTTTCCTGTGAAAGGTATAACATGTAGAACTCTGACTTTTTATTTTCATTGAGGGAATCTATCAAAGCACCTCTATGAATAGGCAAATCTGTTATTTCATTATTAAATGTTCACCAGATATAGTCTTACAGAGCTGCACGTTCTGGCTTTCCTTTGATTACTTGGTTACAGAAAAACTACCTTGATTGTTGTTGGAATCATAAGGTAGGAACCACATATATTTCCTCTTTGTTAATTAAATCTGAAATAGTGGAAAAAACAATTTCTCATACAGAACTAAACTTAATAACATATGAAAACACAGGGCTCACAAACCAAGCAAAACAAAATGAAAAACAGCTGGATATGCAGAGCTTCTTAACAGAGTTTATACAGTATGCCTTTTATTCTAAATTACTTTGGCATTGTTTAGCTCAATGTTTCAATATTTCAGACTTAAACACTGGTCTCAACATTAATCCCTGCAGTATTAAACATCTATTTATCTAGAAAGCAACCATACATTTTATCTACTGAATATACATTAGTGCAGTCCTGAATTATCATGCTGTGATATGTTGTACTAATACATTCTTAAAACAATTTATTATACTTCACTACAGACATAAAGGCCAAGGAGATGTTTCCATATATATTCCATATGAGCACAAATTCCACACAGCATATGTAGAATCTAAAGCTACTCCGTAGACAAGTGTGTGCTAACATTTGTATTCTAAAAATACAATTAAAATTTCAGTAAATAGTTTTTCGATCATTAATTCAGTGTTTGCATAAAAGGACACTTGCTGATTTACAGTGATTATCTTTTTAAAAATGTGACCCTACAGTCCTGCCTTCAGCTGAAGAGTAAAAACCAAACACTAATGTATCAAACTGCTCAATGCAGAATTCTGTAATAGCAGTTCACATGCAACTACTGTTTGGTTTGCATGGGGTAGATTAGATTAGATGCAGAAAGAAGTCAGGAAGAAAAATATCAGAAGAGTACTTGGAAAGTGAGCTTCTTCCACCTCAATACATGAAACAGTGCTCTTCCCATCTGTATTGGGAGCCTTGTGGAAAAGAGTGCATTCTTCATAGTGGTTCTTGATAACCTGCACTTGCTCTGTTGGGCTGCAGGCTTAGGGCTTGAGCAGCCCATATATTAGCATGAGCTGCTGTTTTAAGAGAACTTGTTGGTATATCCCAAATCAGTTTGTGCTGTTGGTGTTATGGCAGAGATAATATTAAAAAATGTCGGGATATGGTATGTGATTCTCTTTGTTACACAAAACAAAGGGTACAACAGTGTGGGAGAGAGAAAAAGTCCTCTCCATGATTAGGATCTGAGTAGGGTGCTTTATGAAAGTCAACCCATGGTCTGTGCTGCATGAAAGAAGGGTTGTCAGCATACGAGGGATGCAAGTTGTACTCTCTATCTATAGTCCTCTTTATAATCTCTTATTAAAACAGCTGTTTTATTACACCATGTGTTATTGGGCTTTATTTCACTGAGATCTGCAAAAACCTGTGCACTGCCATACACCTCTCTACTTCCACCCTCCCTTCAAGGGCAGAACACTCTAATTGCCATTCTTGCAACATATAGGCCTGTACAGGCTTACACACTTTCACTACCAGATCTACACTCATACAATTGTATGAACATAATTCTATCCATCTTCACTTTTATTTACCCATGTTAATCTTTTTTTCTACCTATGAACATCACTTAGCTGATGCAGACCACTCAAAACACTTGAGACATCTGTTAAATGTGTTAATGAGGTATTCCATATGCAATTGGGAAATCAGAGATTGTTGGTTGATACTATCATATTTCTCATGAAGAACAGATGAGTTACACTTGCTGCGGATACTGTGACTTCATTGGTTGTTTCCTGTAACTTTTTTGTATGTGCGTTGAAAGAGATTCAAGTGTATAAATGTGTTGTTATTTTCTGCCATCACATGACCTTACACATACTCTTGTGTAAACATTCAGAGTAAACAGAATTTTCTTCTGATAGCTCTAAAGCTCTGAATAGGCTTAGAGATACCCCTCAGTTTTGATGAACACCATCTATTTGCTTCTTATATTGCAAACTCCAGTTTAATAGCTGGTCTTCTTCTTTCTGCCGTCTTTCCCTTTCAGTCTTTGACTAGAACTTTCAAGACACTAATAACATAAAACTGATGACTTAGTAGGCCTAGCTTATGTTTATCCAAGAAGTCTGGATAAGTAGGTAGGTTATGTAAGGAATAAACTATCTGATGTGACTCTGTAAATCTGTTTAATGGGTGATTTTTGATAAAAGGACTGGAAAGGAACAACCCTTTTTGACCACTCCTAAGAGATTACACAAGAAATCTCATGAGTCAAGTAGAAATCCCAATCAACCAGGTTGTCACAACAAAACTTAATTAATTATTAGTACATCTACTTATGTCAGACTCTGATGTTAGACTGCAGAGCTCATACTTCAGTAAGAGTTTTGACATTTGTTAACTCTGTAAGGAAGCAATTTTAACCATGGAATAAAGAGCTGGACCGCAAGTTCCAGTTCTCAAGATAGGATCTCAGATGCAAGGTGTTAGTGCAGTAGTGTATTGAGAGATCCTTTGACTGATGGAAAGTCTAAACACTGAAGAGGTAGAAAATCAAAACTCTCATTTTGTTTCTGGATTCAGTTGAATTTCTACAATAATCATCTATGAGGCACCCACCAAGAATGTGACAGTATGTTCTCTAAAAAAACAGATGCTTTGGACTCGTGGTGTTCTTTAGTTACAGTTGCTGTTTTGAATTATGAACAGAATACAATAGTGTCAATATGCTGCTATGTAGAAGCATCTGTGACTGATGTAACTACCCTCTGGACTTAGGAGTATGGTAGGTACTTTCCCACAGTTTGCTTGAGCATGAAAGTTAGTTCATAATTTTCAAATACAACCAGAATGAAGAGGTCTCAAATCAATGTTCTGATGATTTAGTGTCCCTAAAACATAAAATTAAATTTAAAAAGAATTCTGGTTTGTTGCAATAAAAATATTTACTTTGCAAAATATCTTTCCTGAAATTTTGGTTTTACCTACCAAAGAACAGTCTATTTCTTGCATACCTGCAAGCACATCTTGAGCACGCTGCAGTGCAAGATAAGGTATGCTTGTAGTGTACTACAAATAGTTATTTCTATCAGTTAATTCTGACCAATGTTTTGGCAGAAAAAAAAAAAGTGAATCTGCTGAGTAGACACTGTACCTCCAGTTATTCCTGAATCTGAACCTGTCATGTTCCTATATAAATTCTTAAAAAACCTTCCAAACAACAAAAAACACAAACAAACATAAAAAAACAACCAAAGAAAAACACAGGCAATGGAACAAAACCCACAACCTCCCCCCCAAATCACACAAGGTGAAACATAAATAGTGTAGGAAAAAAGTGAGTTCTAACTGGCATGGGTTAGAAGCACAGTCTGAAGCACAATTCTCCTAATTCTTGGGTTATGCCTAGTTTCCACAATTGCCATAAACAATTCCAGGTTACAAAACACACTACTGGATTTTTCAGAACACAAAGCCTGAGTCTTGCCATGCAGGTTCATTTCTGGACTGGGGGATGGGGGAAATGTTTGTGTGTGTATGTTCATTTTCTTTTCTTTCTTTTTTAATATGCATTCTAAAACACGCAGATTGGGTAAAAATTTAAAAGTGTTCAGAATGTCAGTGCACTGCAATGTGCATGTTTATATAACTCTCACAAAAAGAACACAGGGAAAGATAGCTTTGAACCTGGGCTCTGCTAAACAATTTTTCTTCAAGGGAGATAAAATAATGAAAAATACTTGCTTAAACTGCTACCCAAACTAATATTGTTTATACCACTCCTGGAAAAGACCCCAGGGAGCAACAGCGGAATCTGTGCTATTGATTGGCTGGTTAAATAGAGGCCTATTAGATTCAGACAGGCTAGATTGATTATACAGCAGCAGAAGGAGCTCAGATTCAGAGCTGAGTGAACGTCAGGGTGAGAGAGAGGGAGAGCAAGCGAGAGAAAGCGCGCAATAGAGGGAGACTGTACACACTCTAGCATCAGTATGTGACTACCGGTGCCTGATAACACTGATATTGAGCTCCTTCAGCAGAGAACTTGCTGAGCTACCTTTTTTCATTTGCAAGAGGATGCCAGCTCTAAGCCTGTGCAACCGATGACAGACTGGACGTTGGAATAGTTCATTTTACTTACAATTACATCTCTCATGTTCTGCATCTCTGAAAAAAGGCTTATTACTGAAGACAAAAATTCGTCCTCTCCCCTTAGCTCACATAATACTGATGATATACAGAGTTTGATCTTCCAGGTAAGGAAATTATAATTTGCTTTTCTGAGCAGCTAAAAAAAGGAATTATTCTTTTATATCTTGCATGTTAAACACAAGCTTTGGCATCTGTTCACAGAATGCATTTTTGCACTTGCATTTCTTCCAGTCACAGATTATATGTGTCAAATACTATGTACACTGGAAGACAATTAGCAACAGGACATGGTTTGCATTGCATTTATCATGCTTAACCCTTCAAGTAAATGGGAATGAAACAACTAGAAAGATTATTTCTAACTACTTGGATGATGTTTTAATGTAACTTGTCCCACACTTGCTAAGCAGTCCGGAGTAATAATGGCACACAAGAGCTCAAATATAATTAATTCATTATTGTACGTGTTCTGAAGCCAGGTAGAGAGAACATTTACCTGAAGGATTTTTCAGTGTTTGTCAGTAGTTTGAAATAGTATCTGTCTTTTGACTGCAAGCTTACCACAGCTGAGCAAATATGGTCAGCCTTAAATAATATGGCATTAAACTGCCTTTTTTTTTATATATATATAGTAGTTATTGCTAGCATTCTGCCTGCAAAGCAAAGATCAAGGCTTATGACCTGAGACATGAAACCTAAGATGTTCTGTTACACTGTGCTGCATATTAGATGCAGTCATCCCACAGACTGATTGCTTGTTTTGATGTGACATTGACACTACTGTCTCCTAATTGCCTATCTCTGTATAAACTTTCTACATATTTACTTCCGCTATGCTGTAAGTGGTTTTGCTGTGATAGGTTGTGATGAATTGCTGTGATTTTGAAGGTGATAGGCTAAAACTGAAATAACCCGACTTTTGGTTACGAAGCAAGTCAGCAAGTTGATCAGCTCGGGATTTATAGGCCATGGGAGCATAATGCTAGGAAGACAGCATTGTCACTTCACTAGTAGCATATTCCTAACAGATGTGAGAATCTGCACCACCTTCCTCATCAGTTTGTGCATTCTGCTGCTGAAGAGTTTTTCATACAGCAGCTATTGTGATTACTCCCTCTAAGTGGAGACATCAGTCTGTTAATGTAACCATGTAGGTAGACTTGCACACAGCCAAGTACAGCATTCCAATGCTTTGTCCAACTAAGAAACTGCCTATAGCAAGATCTTGCTCTTAGATTGTGCACCTCACTGTAATCCAATTTATCCAATGACAAAAGCATCACAAATATAGAAAAGCACTTTCTTCTCTTCCTTTACCATGAATTTTTTTATAAATTTCTGTAAGCCACCATACTCAAATACTTAATGACTTCTCAAAACCTAAATATGGAGTTACCAAAATGATTATTTATAATTTTGTAAAAGAAACACATTATAAATGTTGAGGACCTTAGACATACAGAGATTTTTTTGAAAACTATCAATAATTTGAATGGGTGTCTTAAGTGGTCACATGAAAAAATAAGTAATGCTTAAGAGAAAACTTCATCTTCTATAATGTACAATATGAATAAGCACTGGCAAAACCAAGAACTAAACTGATGAGCCAAAACTAAAGGAATACTTAAACTATAGCATCTGTGCTCTTTTATTTCTTCATATTTTCTTCATGAATAATGTTTATGTTATTTCTTACATACATAATTGATCCATGTCAGCAATTTCAGTGTTTCCTTCTGAAATTCTTTCCAGGTAGAAGGTAATTCTCTTGGGGGCACATTTTGCCACCGTACCTTTCATTAAGTGGTATTTTACTCCAGAAAATACTACCAAAAGTGAAGACTGCATACAGTGACTATGGAGTCAGAGTGCAGAATCTGACCATAAAAAAATGGAGAGAAACCCTTTACATTTTAATTACCTGACTGAAAATTTTAACAGTAAGACAAAGACGTGGATATCAAGAGTTAGAGCTACTAAATATGGACAATATTTTATAAGGAGCTAAGATAATTGGATGCCTAATTCACTGGATTCTTACACAGCTTAAGGCCTGCCTCAATATATTTCATGTGCAGTTTGACTTGCAAAAAATAATCCTTTATGTAAGCGCAAAAGCTTTCTTACAGCTCTTATTAATCTCTCTCTTTTCTTTCTGAAAAGCCTTGTTCATCTGTGCTCTTTAAATATACCTTATAATTTTTTGATTGGAAATAAAATCATGGTAATTCTGTGATTTCAAAATCAGCAATATGGTTCCCTCCAGATTAGTATATGTTAGTAGTCAACCTTGAAATTCCAAATAAAGCTACAAAGTGTTTATTTTTGAAAAGACAATATTAAATTTGAACCTTTTTTTTAAGCACAAAAGAAAATCACAAACCCAAAAACTTAGCTATAAGATATTCATTTCCACATTACAGATTGCAAGCATCTTCTTTTGCCAAATTCAGGAAAACAAATGGAATGAAAAAATCAAATAAGAAAGGTTTAAGAGTTTACATACTACAAATTGTGCACTTTCTTTCAAGTCTTGAATGTTGTTAATCTGGACTTTTTGCAACACTTTAAGCTGATTCACTTGTATTACCTTTTTCTCAAAAAGATTATTTGGTTCTTTTTGAAATTAATGTTGCATTTCTTTCCAACTTGAATTGACAGAATGTGAAATTTATTTTTATTTTCCTAGCTAACTTGAAGCCATTAGGGGGCCCTTTCCTCCTATGATATCACTCAGCAAGCTGCAATAAAAAGATATATCTAGTTATTAGACTTGTCAGAAAAACAAGTTCTGCTTGATTTAATTTATTCTGGGTGTAGAGCATTTTAATAATACAGAGCAATTTAAAATATCTCATTTGTTTATTTGTTAGTTCATTTGTTGGAGGGAGTTCTGTTTGGTTTGGGGTTTTATTGCACATAGTTAAAAAATAATGTATCTTTCACTGCCAGTTAGATGGTTATGTTTTGAAGTTACCTTTGTCCCATAAAGCGGAGGAAGCAGGGAACACAGTCAGCAACAACTTTGAAGTAATCTCTGGGATTACTAGATCAAACTAACAGCCTGATCAGACTGAATATGAAGCACAACTTATATCCAAAAAGCTAATGTTTGCTTATTCTAGTAGCTGGGACCAACAGCGCAGCTAGTATTAAAAAAAAAAATAAAAAGAAAATAAAAAATTAATCCTGTTGAGTACTGGTATATTGTGCCGATAAGAACCTAGATTATATAGAACTGACATACTCTTCACTTGCACAGCTTGCTTTCAGAAGGGCTAAGAATATCACAAGCATTTTTGGATGACTTTATTTTCACAAAGTAAGAAAGGTAGTTTCAATTCTGCAAATATTCACCTGTGAGCAGCTACACTGAAGTTACTGTGGAACAAATTCCAATATACATTGTTCTGCCTATTATTCCTTTAGTAGTTCCAGTCAATTCATTGAACCACTGTACCTGAAATCAGTACTGTTTGTACAAACTGAAGCTTTTATTATTTCTTGTTGAATTCCTTGGAATGAACTATAGAATAACCAGATCCAGACTAAGAAGAAGAAATAGATTTGTTGCAAAGCACAACAAGGTGGTTGCAAACACTGCAGTAGCATGCTGAGGTGAGGCCAGGAGAAATATGAGTGTCAAAAGACAAGCAAATTAATTGTCCACCTGTTTCAGTTTTAAAGAATTATATTATTCCTACCAACCTTGAAAGAAAAAAATCCCATGTTGGTAAATGACTTTACCTGCCCTGGTGAACTTGCTACTTTACATGGTTTAGCTTGGAGAGATTCTAATACTACCAACTCCATTCAAGAAAAAAAAGAAAAAGAAGAAAAAAACTAACACCCTATGTGATACTCTACATTCAAAACAAAGTAGTGTAATCTGGCCAAATTGGAATTTAAGTGCTTCAAGCTAAAAAATTATATTCTTCCCTGGTTTTACTACACATCTGAATAATCTCTCAAATTTTACACATGCTTATAGCAACTATCTTATGACACGTCAATGAAGAATTCTTTTCTGCTAAACAGTATGTGGAAATTCCAACCAAGATCTGAAGCCATTGTGTTTCTTGCTCTGCATAGTCAGGAAAATAGTTTCAGTTTCAGGTTCATGCAATGTAATAGAAATTGTCAACAACTGGAATAAATCATTATTTCTGAGATACATAACTGATGTTTCAACTCATAGAAGGTGGTCTTTATTAGGTATGTTATTAGCACATTGTAAATTCAGCGTCATACAAATTAACTTCCTGTCAGTGGAAGAGAGTTTTTTCATTGCTAAAATGAGGATAAAGTTAACTGTGACTGGCTTGCATTTCAAGTAATTAATTGTGTACATGTGAAAAGTCACTAATCTTGAGCTGGTATTATTATTAGAAATCCATCAGGCACAGCATCTCCAGCCAGTTGAGGGAGGTGATTGTCCCGCTCTGCTCTGCACTGGTGTGGCCTCACCTTGAATGCTGTGTGCAGTTTTGGACACCAAAATATAAGAAAGATATTAAGCTATTAGAGAGTGTCCAAAGGAACGCAACAAAGATGGTGAAGGGCCTTGAGGAGAAGCCCTATGAGGAACTGCTAAGGTCACTTGGTCTGCTCAGCCTGGAGAAGAGGAGACTGAGGAGAGACCTCATTATGGTCTACAGCTTCCTCACGAGGCAAAGCGGAGGGGCAAGTACCTCGTGACCAGTGACACACGAGAAAATGGCATGAAGCTGAGTCCAGGGAGGTTTAGGTTGGATATTAGGAAAAAGTTCTTAATCCAAACAGTGGCCAAACACTGGAACAGGCTACCCAGAAAAGTGGTCACAGCTCCAGGTCTGAGAGAGTTTGAGAAGCACTTGGGCAATACTCTCAGGCACATGGTGTGATTCTTGGGGCTGTCCTGTGAAGGGCCAGGAGTTGGACTTCCAGATTCTTGTGGGTCCCTTCCAACTGAAGATATTCTAGGATCTTATGTTGTTATATAAGGCCCAAATCAGACCAAATTGTTGGAAGATGACATGAGGTGTGTGGCAGAAGCAAGTAACAGAGACCGCTTCTTTGTTGGAGTTAAGTACCTAGCAGTAAGATTCTTTTCTCCTCTATAAAA